AAACATCAAAATTAGCACAGAAACAGTACTATATAACATTTTAGACACATTCTAGACAGTTTATCAGCTAAAAAAAGTTAATTTTGGGGTAAGTTGTTCTTTAATGGTCTCACATGGTCTCAGAGTACGAGTTGAGGATGAGTCTCAGGTACTGTCACACTAAATTTTATGTCATTTTCTAAAAAACTCGAACTAGAGTTCAGCTGGTGTCTTGCCTTTCCATGCCTTTTTACACCTCCATTTTTTCATGTGTTCAATAATTTTTCCCTGTGCCATTCCACATTATTACAAATAACTTCATTTCTGGACATTTATGGTTTTTCTTTGTATGTATGGATCACTTGGGTTGTTACCAACATCTGGTGATAATTTTCATGTCATTAGCTCCTCTAGTAATATATTTACTGAGAAAAATGGTGACGTGTTCAATACTTATTTTACCCACTGTATATAATATCCACTCTAAGTTTCATTTTTACTTTTGTTAAATATTTTTTCACACATTCTATGGATTTTAAAAAGCAAATGCAACACACGTTTTATTTTACGAAGTACTGTATCTGATAGTTCAAACAGAGATTAAACCTGTGTTTAATCTTGTTGGATTTTTCCAAACGAATCAGTTTTATCCAGATTTGTCTTCTCTCACCCATTTGCAGAACAACTGTTTATTCATATTGTAGCAGTGGAAACAGGATATTTTGATGTATATTTTGTTATTGTAAGTTTCGGTAGCAGCTCAAAGACTAAAAACCAGCCTGGCTCGGCCCAGTTGAAGCTAAAGGACAGTCTGAAGAAGAAAATCCAGCTTGAACTATAGGACATTAGCCTTAGTTACAAGTAGGTTAAGCTGTAAAAGTATAAATATTTACATAAATCGTGACTTTGTTAATTGGTTGATGATTAATATATATTTGTTCTGTTCAAAAGAAGGTGYTTGTTTCTTTCAGCTGTTTTCTTTRGAGATTTTAGAAAACTGTGAGGAGCAAAGTTTCATACAACCAGATTCACTATGCTTTATTGTATTTAAAAATCTAATGAATTTTTCTGTATTTGTATGTGCCTAAATGAATCCTTACCRGTTTTTTTCTTCTTTTTAGTTAAACCAACTGTTATAGACGTGGACATATTTGTGAACAGCATTGGGCCTGTGTCTTCAATAAATATGGTAAGTCAAACTTTACTTCTGTACACAAAATCACAACTTCAAAACATTGGTGTAAATACTAATATTTGTGTCGAACCATCACAGTACAGATGTTTCTAACCAGGGTGAGAACATGTTAGTAACAAAAGTATTTGTCCAAAATAATACTTGAAGCCTTTATTTACAAGTGCTGACCTTTTCATTTTTAAATTCTGTCAAACACTTAAAAAAATTTCATTCTACTATGTTTCTGACAAAACAGATCTTAGACTTTAAACTGAAACCTAAAAGCCCATAATTTACTTCATTTTAAATGAGACTCACTCAATATTTAGTGCATATTCAATAGTACAAGCAGTGTGTATTTTAAGCCCCATTGTCCCAGCTGAACTCATGTACAATAAKATCAGTTGTCATTCTTGTATTGTCTCTAATTGCAATGTGCTGTATAATTGAGGGAGTCATGACTTCAACAGGCAACAGATGGTGATTAATCCCTTTCTGCACAGACTCTAAAGCTTAAAGCAGATCATGCTCACATTACATTCAGAGGAAAAAAACATTACTCATCTCTGAGGAAGTTCTGATCATTATTTTTAAAGAAATCAGCATAAAAATGCACCTCTTCAACCGACAATACATTTTTCTGTTTACCCACTTTTTTGTCTTTAAATGCTGCATGTTGTACATGTGCAGTGGCGCTTGCAGAATTTTTTTTCAGGAGGTGTGGGGGCATTGAAACATCAGGGGTGGCACACCAAAACTAAAATCTATGACAGAGGTTTTAAGATACTGTTGTTGTAAAATGACAATTTGATATAAGAATTAAGGACTTGCAGTTCAGTTTGTTATTACCTCCGCCAAGGGCGAGGTAATGTTTTCGGTCTCGTCTGTCTTTCTGTCTGTCTGTCTGTCTGTCTGTTTTTCAGAACCTAGCTAGCTGAGACATTTAATCTCAGCGTAAGAGTATAAATCGCATTATGGGCCGCAAAGAATACACTTCAAGCTAATGCAAAGTTTAACTGTATTCAGTCTCCAATGTTGTGCTATGGTTTAGCTTCAAGCAAAGTGTCCTATATCAATGTGTAAGCCAGTGAACTAGTATGCATGTAGGAAAAATGCAGCAAAATAGACACTGTCTAGACTATTTTTCAGTTATGTTTATTGTACTGTATGCAATGAAACTCGTTCATTCAGCATTTAGTTCAATGATATACTGTAGATGCAA